GAATCATATTATAGCCACACTTGAAATAGTCAAGTGAAATGAGACATAATTTTCGGAAAAATATTTCCCAAGATTTTGTTTCATTTAAAAGCTTTGTTATGTCCTTATGAATGGTAACTGAAAACTCCCATGTTTTCCTCTGTACGCTTCTTTCTTTTTTAGAGGGAAATGAGGGTGATTTGAAGGGGAGAACTGAATTTCTACTACACTGCTTGACAATTTCTAAGGAACAACTGATTTATGTAAAGTGGCGTTCCCGTCGGCTCGTAAAATTACCGTAAAATCAAGCGCATAGTGCGTGATAGAGCAGGACCCGTAAACAGCATAAAGGGTAGTGTATACAAGTTCTTAATTCATTCGAAAACTCATGTTGTTAGGAGTTGAACTAATATAACACTGTAGGCTGTTGACTTTATTTCTGTAACATTCAAGGTGGTGCTGCTATAATTATATCAGCAAGATAACATTTCGAAGCTTACGACCGTGGACGAGCGGTTGGGCGACTGAAAGCAGGTTAACGTATTGTGGAGAGAATCATATCATATGTTAATCATATGTTAATTCATTTGTGAAATGGTACCCCAACATAGAATCGAGTTAACATGTCTTATATACTACTGAATTGGATTTGAATAATTGTAGTGGTAGACTCGCTACTATACTCCTGCACCAGAATTTTATCTGAGATAGAATTCGATGAATGGATACCACTAGTTGCTGTTTTTGTGAGAAACTGCGAATGCTGTATTAAGATCACCGCACTTTTGAGTGCTAATCGTAAGAGCTATATTAGGTTCATGGTCGTGATTGCTTCTGTGTCACCATTAGCAGTCGAGTGCATACGAGCCAGCGTAGTGTGTGATCGTGACTGAGTAACAAGAGAGCAAGGAGCTGAAAAATGTCACTGTCACAAGAGTCAAGTGAACTGTTCAATGTGAACCATTCATCGAATTAGGAGTGCTCAAATCAAAATTGGTCTTTATGTCAAGGTAGGCGTGTTCACATCCCGTCCAAAGGTCACTAATGAGGGGAGAGTCATATCGACAATGTCAACATTCATCTATGAAAAGGTACCCTGATTAGAATTGAGTTAACATGTCTTATATACTAGTGAATTGGAAATGAATAATCATATTGGTAGACACGCAACATTATCAACACTGTAACCGCAACAATGTGGCCACAACAATGAAATGTTAAAAAGTGTTATCTTGCGTTCAAAAAAGGCCGCTGAAGCAGAAAATGCCATGCGAAAGCATGCCGGTGGTCGTGGTAGGAATACCACTCCTCAAGAAGATCGATATGCCTCCCTAATAGTGAAAATGAACAGAAATGCCACTCCTATTAAGATAGCTGTAAACCTTGCAACCACTACCGGTACACAGGTTTCTGCTAGAACAAACTCACGACGATTAAATAAAGTTGATTCAAGCAAGCCTGTCCGATGCATATCTCATCAACCACGCCATCGTCGAGAAATATTATGCAGGTGTAAGGAACATATTGGTTGGATTCCCCGACAGTAGTCCAGACTGATGTTCTATAACAAATTCCGTTTTACTGAGACATATTATTATAGCCACTACTCGGTGTGGAGAGAGAAGTTAATATGTTATGCATAATATTACGTTCATGACCGTGATAGGTGTGGCCCAGGTGTTCTGGTGTGGATAGGTATCATGCGCAATGGCAGAACACTGCTTCACATCTTACAGCAAGGTATCGCTACATCCCAGATGTTTTGCCGAGAGATTATTATGGATCATGTTCGTCTTTTTAGAAGTGTGCTAGGTCCAAAATTTCCATTTATAAACAACATTGAGCACAAGAGTGCTGACACACGCAAGACTGCTGTGGTATCGGACACACTAAGAAAGTGGGTATCATTGTATTGCCCTAATACAATTGCCTGTGCGCACTCCTCGGATCTGATTCCTATAGAGTTTGCTTTTAATGCCTTTTGCAAGCTGGTTTCAAATGGAACACGCCTTGCCTGAACTGTGCGAGAGCTGATAACCGCCTTGAGAGTGGAGTGGGAAAACATCCCTCAAGGACACTCAGACAGTTTAATGAACAGCATGAAAAACCGATTCAAAGCATGCATTAGTGTCGGAGGTAATCATACATCTTACTGAAATAATCATACTTGTTTCATTCTGGCACGAAGAGCCAATATTCTGTTTCGAAATAATCTGAGGAGCATATCTTTTATATTTAATTTTCTTATTTTTTGATGCGACAATGTTTGTACCATTTTGCATTATAATAAGTTCAAATTGCGTTCACTAAATAAGTACTTAGTTTCATTTTTTCAAGCAATGCCTATTATTAAATTACATAAAATGTAACTGTTCCTTAGCAATAGTCAATCAGTGTAGGTGAGCAAATAAGGCAATGTGTCTGATAAATTTTCAACGCTAAATTGATTAAGACCATTTCCAAAATGATCAGACTATTATTTTAGAAGTTAACCCATTTTGACATATATGTCACGCGAATTTCGAAACTTTTATGAGTATTCTTCAACTCTAATAAAGGACTGTTTCCACATCAAACAAGTGTTTTTTTTGTTTTGAAAATTTAAGAAGTGTAGCAAACAGAAGAAAATATTCATTAAGCCAAACAAGTAATCACATTTTTAACAGGATCTTTTTTTACATCACGGTGTGTAACAAATTCAGGCCTTTGGGGGTTAAAAGGGTTTTATTAAGTAAAAGTACAATTTTGTGCTTGACTTTTTTATGCATTGAATATTAGTATCAAAATAAGTTATGCATTGCTTACAATGCATAACTTATTTATATTTATTAATTGTAATTATAATTATTAATTGTAATTATAATTATTAATTGTAATTATAATTATTAATTGTATTTATTAATTGTAATAACTTAGTTGTAATTATTTTTCCATACATGAATTGGATGAAATAAGATTGGAATCGATAAGGTAAATAGTTTAGAAGTTGTGAGAGGTTTGTGCACAAAAAGAACAATTTTTTAGTTATTTACCCATCTTATATTGTGATATAAAAAATGAAGACATGATTCAAGAAGGCTTATATTTGAAATGTTGCAAGTGGTACCTTTGAATAAATAGTACAATGTTCCTTTACAAAAAACCCTAACAGCTTTAAAACATTTCAAAAAATTTAATTTCATTCAATTCCAACCAATTCAGCATAGAAATTTAATTGGAAAATCAACCTCATATCTTCAGATAGTTCCTATTTAGCAAAGCAAATAGGTACATAGATACACTTCCAAAAATAGAACTTTTTGAACAGGAAAATACTTGCAACTTTTGAACTGTTCGTTCCATTAACTCATGAATAGTCTCATTCGATTAAATGTAAAGGGAAAAGAAACCTCATAGGAAATTATGCCGCCTTTCTTGCTTAGAAAGAAATTTTAGTTGCATAAATAGGTACAGGTACATTACCTTTTTGGTTCTTAAAATTTAACTAATAACTTTTTCCGATTGTTTTGGAAGTGATCTAATTTAATTCAGAATTAAAATACACTAAAAATATTGCCTCACTTATCTCATTACCTCATAAAAATGCATATTTTAGAATTCTTTCCCTCAAATCGCCATCATTTCTCTGAAGAAAGTAAGAAGCGTGCTGAAAGCAGAGTGAGGGAGTGTTCTAGCATCGCTTATATAAACATAACAGAGCTTCCTACCAAAAAAAAAATACCTTGGGTATTAATTTTCCAAAGAAACACCCTTTTTTACTATTATTATTGGACTAAAACTGTAACTCAACAATTGCTTCACAAGATATGAAGAAATATTGATTATTGCCTTAATGTCTTTCAAGTGGGTAATAGAATTTAATTAAATATTAAAAGTATGTAAAACTTACTTTTAATATTTTATTTCAAAATTCATTTTTACTTTTGTTTTTAAATTTACATAATACAATATTTAATTCTGACATTTTTCAATGACCGTTTAGAGTACTTAAGAAGAAAATAAGAATATACTATATTTCAAAAATGTTGATATTCTTTTTTAATTTTTATCAATTTAGTGGAATTGAATTCAAAATGAGTAATATAGTTATTAAATTCTCTAATTTAAAATAACAAGAAGGGCTTTTTATACAAAATAAAACTTTCAATCAAAATAAATTCTTTTCAAGATGAATTATTTTTGCTTTGATCAAATTAATAGAAGTTCAACGACGGAGACATACAATAGGTTAGTTTTTAAAATGAAACGGTTTTTTTTTACTAACAGACCAAAACAGATTATAAAAGAGGAAAAAAAAGATGAAATTGGATGAAAGAGTAAAAAAGGAAAACGAATTTTTTTACGATAAAGAGAATTCCGATCAAATGGTCTTATTTGCTTTAACACAGAAATCTTTTGAATTCACCATGCGGGCTTTTTGAACGTTTTTCCTTTTATATTCAAGTTTTACTAGTTTATTAAAAGAGTTTTATGAATGTGAAGAGCAATTTTAAGTAAAAAATAAGATGCAGTTTTAAAAAATTGGGAACACATTTTTTAGAATTATGAATTCCAATAATGCATGAAATAAATTCAATTGAGTATTCATGTTATGTTGGTTTTCTTGCATTTGCGTTTAGTTGCTATAATTAATTTGTTATTTTTACAATTTATATATTTTTTAAGTTCTGTTAATTGCTGTTTAATATTATCACAGATAAAAAAAAAAACTTTAAAGCGAATTACAGCCTATCACTGCTAAATGATTAACTGGAAATTTCTTTTGAAAAACATTTATTTTTAAAATGCAATATATGATAAAAAGTAAAAAAAGCGAAGAAAATGGAGTTATCATGAAGTTTCACGAATGAAGTTTTTAAAATTATATTTTCATGTTAAAATGTATGCTTTTTTAAAAAGTAAATAGTTGCTTAGGAACTTTAAACATAAAAATACCAAATGCAATATTAATTAAGTTCAATATATTTAAGGAATTTCATTCAGTGTTTACTAAAAGAAATGTTTAACAACCACTTTTACAGGATTGCGGTCACCGGAGATCTTATAGAGAAAGGTGTAACTGGTTTGGAGCCAATCTTACGAAAAGATGAAGAAACTTATATGGAGATAGCTAGAGCATCTGGTCGGAGGACACCCCAACAAATGAGAGAGATCTTTGGATTGGCTGAAGACAAAGGCTCAACTATGTTTACTCATCTAGAAAATCTATTAGAAGAAATCAATCACACACAGAATACAGTTAATGAACTGAAAGAAGAAAATCGAAATTTACTCAAGTCCATATCAACTTCTGAAAGGAAACTAAAATGGGAAATAAGCGAGAAACAAGTAAGACTGTCTAACATTAGAAATTTTTTTGTAAAGAGTACATTTAACTTGAAGTGCTATACACCTGTAAGCAAATCTTTTAATTTATATACTTAAAATGATGGTGAAAAAATTAAGAAAAATTACTAAAACCATTACGGGTCGCTCTCATCAATATCTGAAGAATCAGCATCGAGGTTAATCCTAACAAAATAATCAAATCAGTGATAGTTATTTGCCAGAAGAAACTAAAATGCAGTTTCTAATTTGTTTTCTATACTCAATCTCGGTATCTTGATGTTATTTTAGAAAATTTGGGAACTTTATGATACTTCAAACTGTGGGGAAAAAAACTTTTTTTGCGCTTGCTTATAAAACTCATTATAACTTCATACCATAACTATTCTTCTTCTGATTTAATTGAATTCAAATTAGAAATATTTTAATAATAATTAATTTTAATTAATATATTATTAATTATGATATATAATTAATTAATATATTAATATATAAAAATAAGTACAGTTTTTTGTACATCTCTTGAGACAACAAAAATTATCAGTTGTAAAATCTGAAACATGATCAAAAACTTTTTTTTGAGGTTTGAAGTTCTAAATTTTTATTTTTCAGTTAAAATGTATTTAAATGGAATTATTTTCATGATAAAATGCTAGCATTATTAATGTTTTCATTTTAAATTTCATTAGCAATAAAATTAATAAAATAGGTCACAATATCTTTTGAAACAAGTTTTATTAAATAAACAATCAATTAACCTTGCAATAAGCATCGAAACATGCAATTAGAAAATCTAAAAATAACTATTTGAAAACTAAGTTAAAATAAATAATTATAAGGAGGCATTTCAAGACGTAATTATGTAATGTCGAAAGTTTTGAATGTTAGTACTTCACAAAGTATTCATTAAGTATCCTCAAATTTAATTAAATAGTCTTTTTACTTCAGCATTACTCTTTCAAAGACTTTTAAAACTTATCCTCCACTCTTTAGAATATTTCTGCGAGAAAAGAAAAGCTTTCAAACTGCGTTATTTAACAAAGTTCAGAGGAAACTTGAAAGATAAATTGAATATGTCAAATAGAATTACCAATCAGGTGGTTTAACAACTTGAAACCTATGGCTTTATTCGGGACCGAACGATGAATCAACCAATTGACACTAATTACTTTTTCGTGCTACCTGCTTAAGCTGTTTTATTACTTTTATGCTAACTTACCGAACTCTTGCCATCTTTAGAAACGGTTTTATTTAAGTTTCGCTTGATTCTAAAATAAAATAATGAAAATTCTATTGGTAAAGGTGCAAATGATATTGAATTTTAAACTATAAATTAAAGATTTCGAGTTATAATTAATGTTATATTCTTGTTAAGGGAATTACGATGAACTATTTATGAAATAAAGCGTATTTTTCTAAACTATATTACGCTTTATTTATGAGATTATGACAAAAATGGTATTCACGGAGTAAGTGGTTTAGTATAGTTTAAACTATTAAAAACAATCTTAAACACTTCATAGTTATTATCATTTAATTTACAGCAGCATATTTAAAAAAAAATATTTTCATAAGAGCGAAGATGTTTGTTACACTTTTGTGTATTTTATCAAACCTACACTTTCCATAATTTGTAAATTTATAGACTCATTAATTATAGCAGGGATAAATTCTATTCAATTTAATCTATAAATAGAGTGTATATTAAAAACGCCATCGGGGAAGTGCCTTTCTAAATCAGACATAAAAAAGATCTCTAATTTTACCCAACGCGTACTTATTCGCCAAGAGCAGTCATATCTTGCTGACGAAGAGATGGATCTTATACAGTTACATTTTAAGAGCCTTTTTAATATTCTGGTTGAAAAATTAATTGGGTGGATTTTTCTTAATTGTCTACTTTGACGTTAGAGTTAACAAATTGAATTGAAATAGTAGAAGTGGGCAAGATTATTATTTAAATTTTTTTTGGATATGCAACTTCTGTTTTAAATTTGCAGCGTTTATTAACATTAATTGGTAAGCAATCTGATATAAAATTATGACCCTAATTTACCAAAAATGCACGGGTAAAAATAATAACGGGCTTAAAAATGTTTCATCTAAAAACAACAAATTAAAATGTATTAAAATTACGTTTTTTAAGTGAGCTTAGTAGGAAACAATTTTAGTTTTCTGAGTCCTAGAGCAAAATATGAAGACCTCAGCATTTTCGAAAGACGTCAGGGGTTTTGACGGTGATAGAAATTTTTTTACTGCAAATGATGCGATTTTTGTTAGTTAAGACCTGATACCCATTTTAGGTAACACACAAATTAAACAATTTTTCCAATTTAAAATATTTTAAAAAATTTGAAAGAGCAGTTTTTAAAATTTTTATTTCAGTTTTATGCCTTTAAGTTTCTTTGAGTTACTTAATTTCGTTCCTACTTAAATTTAAAATAACAGATAGTATAGCCGTTAATTTTATTCGCATTATTTAAAAAAAATATTAAATTGGATTAGCATCAGACACTAGTTTGAATTTTGAGCATGGTAGCTTGTTAGAAGGAGATCGAAATTTCGATGTGCATCAAGTTTTCTTAGACGTTGAAGTAGCTAAAAAAATCTGTTAAGAGCTGATCAGAAAATGATTGATACTTGTATTGTCATCTAACACAGAGCTCCATTTACAATTTAAGCACACTAGCTGCTCAAAAACTAGTCAAAATAATTAGCAACGATAAATTTCAGAAGCGATAAATTTCAGAAGCGATAATAGAGACAAAATCTGCTTGTGGTGGTTAGTAAGAAATTAAAACTTATTTTGTTCTAGGACACAGAGCTGCAATTGAAGTTGGAGTACCTTAGTTATTCGGAAGGTGATCGAAAATTTGGATTAACAAAATATTCTATTTGGTGATAAATGTCTTCCGTTAGTTCTAATGATACCAATGAAAGCTTTATTGCCTCCAGGCATAGTGTTGCAAAAAGAAATTTGAGTGTACTTGCTAGTTGAAAAGTGGTCAGAATTTCGATTATAAAATTTCCCCATTACAGGCCCGAATCTAATTTAATAAAAGAAACATTTTCAATAAATTTGGCAATTAAATTCTGAGAAGAGTTTTTTTTCTTTCTAAATAACAATATTTTTATTGGCATTTTCAAATGCAAAAATAATTAACGTTCGTTTCAAAATTGATTACTTTAAATCGGAGTTTTTAAATGAATATAAATGCTTCATAAAAATATGAATAGTATAATAAACGAAGCAGTAGTTTTTACCATTTCCATTTAAGCTAATTGTGGTCATTGAAATATATTTTAGATTATTTGTAAAAAAAAGTAAGTTAAAGCATAAAATTATACACATTAATGATCGCCGTATGAAAATTTTAAAATAAAAAAATTAACAATTTAATGAAAAACAGAAGTAAGATAAATCAGTACTAACGAAAAACTTTTAACAAAAATTATTTTCTGCTGTATCCCTAGGATAGAATTGCTTAGAATCTAATTTTCACCTTCATTTTTTAAAAAAAAATTTCTTAAATTTAATTTAAAATACTTTCTTCTGTCCTTCTAATTTCAGATACTATCATTTAATTTTCATATTTTATATACATAACATTTGCGTCGATTAGAAAAATTTTGCATTTATGGCCCTATTCAAACGAATCATCTGAAAAATTTTAAATATATTTTATTATCTCGTAATTTTGATTTATAAAGAATTTACCTTGGATATGAGGAAACTATTACATTCTTTCTCATTTCTTCGTAATAGTGAAACAAAAAGATTTTTGAATTATCAATAGTACGCAATTTTAAAAAATTTAAATTATTTATTCATTATTATTATTTTTTTAATATCACCAGTGTGAAGCCTCATAGAGCCTCATATATATATATATAATAGNTATATATATATATATTTCTTCTAAAAGACAATTTTTATGCTTTTAAAATGAAATAAATAATTTTATCCCTACATTTAAGGCATCAAATGCATGTTACTTGCTTTCATCATTTTATAATTAACCAATAGCATGACGGAAAATTAAATTCATATTTTTATTTATTCCCTAAAAATCGTTCTCGTGATGAAGGTGTTTCTAACAAACAAAACAGTAAAAAAATACATATTATTTTAAACGAACTCGTGTAAACGACACATTTTTAGAGCAATAAAAGAATGTCTTAATTTAATTATTCGTAGATTAGTTGCGAAAGTATTCATTTTGCAATTTTACAGTGGAGACAATTTAATTCTTTTAAGCTTAATCACATTACATATCACTAAGTTGTCTTGTTCCTTTAACAATAACTCTAAGTGAAGTTACGGGGGTGGGGGTTACGAAAATTCTATAAACACGTCAAATTTTCGTTTATTCCTTTCGGTTTTTCAGGATTAATGGACTATTTAGAAAAATAATTCAATTTCTTTAAATCCAAGTCCGTCGTCTGATTAAAGCCCTGAATTGAACTCATTACCTGTTGGTAACTAATTACATGCCTTAATGGCCCGGGGCTCGAATCTTTCTGTGCATAAATAGAACACGTGCGTGTTGGAACCACGCCCCATAACCACGTTCCTTTCTTTACCCTCAACACACACACGTGATGCAATTTTAATTCCATCGAGTCTCCCGTTTTTCTAATTATTATTCTGAACATTCGAATACGCTTTCGAAGGAGAATTACGTTTCAGAAATAGAAAAGAAAACACATTTTAAGTTTCAGTTTGTTAGTTAGTTGTTAGTTAAATTATATAAATAAATAAATAAAAAATGTAAGCAGCTCATTTTTTTGTAATAAGCGTTGGTATTCTACAGTAAGGAATTCACTTGTTATTATAATTGTATTCGCAAGAGCTGACGTCAAACGAATACGTTTATTTCAGAATTACGTCACATATATCTAAAAAAAGTTAAGAAACTCTTTCTAAACCCATTTCAGGACCTTCAAAATAGAATACAAATGAGCAAAAAAGCAATTTTCCCGGATTTAATAAAAGTAATTTA